TAGAGTAGAAAATGAACCAATCTGGAAGTCTCCCAATCTCCGTGAGCATATATAAGACATGCAAACAGATAGCACACACACCTTGTGCACATAATTTATAGAACAGGAACACAGTGCATATGGAGTGACGCCCATTAATATTCTTTTATCTTCTTTCAATGTTTGGAAGTGTTTTTGCATGGTCATACATCAAATAGACATGTCATTATTTATTTAACTTTCTTCCCTACCAGCTGACAGCTGATTTCAAATCTTTTCCCTTTCTACCAATTATTTGGTGAGCATCCTTTGTCTTGATGGGTAAGCCCAGGCCTCGAGGAGGGTCCAGGAAAGGCCTCCTGGAGGAAGTGCCCCCTGCTGGAGGCAGGGAGGCTGCCTGGGACACAGCCGGGTCGGGAGGCTGCTGCTCCTGGGAGGAGACAGCCTGGCAAAGGCTTGGAGGAGAGAGGGTGTGAGTGAGTGCTCCCAGGCAATGGCAGTTCCTTTCAGAGGAGGGTGTGCTGGGGGTGGGGCGTGGGGCTGGGGATTGTGGGCACCGAGGGGCTAGTTAATACCAGATGGCCAGGGCTAAGTCCTGAGCAGTCCCGTCAGCCCTGCTAAGGAGTGGGGCCTCAGGCAGCGGGAGCTGCTGCTGATGGAAGTGGTGACATATCCAGGCTGGAGTCTGAAAGATCCTGTGGCTGCTGGCCCTGTGCCAACCTCATTTGACAGCTAGACGCAGAGCTGTTATTAACACAATGAAACAGAAATTAGAAAGAATCGAAGAAGAAGAAAAAATGCTCACGTGTCACAGCTCACAGAGAAATGTTTCAAACTGTCTAGGTTCTCACACTCGGCACGACTGAACGAGTCACAGTCCTCGCTTCTCTGCGCCCTGGAGGAGCGCCATCTGTTTACGTAACCTGCTTGGTGTGGCCCCATCGCTGCTCCAGGAGCCCCAGCGGTGCATCTGGGTGTCTGGGGGGCTGGGGTTTCTTTGGGGAGCGCAGCAAGGACAGAGTACCGCCCAGGAACAGGAAGCAGGTGTGGCCCACACTGCGTCTGTGCTGGGCCCCAGCACGGAGCTGCCGTTCTCCCGAACGCAGTGGGCACAGAGCGATCGGCTGCGTCTCCCGAGGGTGCCGTCTCCATTTAGGAGCTCCTGAAGCTAACAGGCAGTGGCAGCTCCGTTTGAAAACCACGGCAACACTTAGGGAGGCTGTGATCGGCCAGCCCCGCGCGTCGCGTATCAGCAGGGACGTCACACTCTCTCTATGGTGCCCCTGTGCTTGCCCCGTCCTTGCCTCTCTTCCCTGCTGCCTCCCTTAAAAGATGTCATTGCTCTCAGAGGCCGCGGGCAGCGATGGCGAGGAGGCTGCCCAGCTGCCAGGAGCTGTTTTCTGTTTCCCATTATAGTCTCTGGGGGGGCCCCAGCAAAGCAGCCTTCTGCTCTCGATGGGAAATGGATGGTTTTTTTTAAAAAAAAAAATGGCCCCTGAAGACTGTGTCTCAGTTAACGTGCTTCCTAGACTGGCTGGTGTGGATCCCAACACCCAGGCCAGGAGAAACACCTGCAGGTCTGTCTGCCTTACAACTTGCCATCTCGCCCCTGCATCCCTGTGGGCACCTCGTCCCCTCTGCCCCACCCCTTTCCACCACTCTCGCCACCACCTCTGCCCTGGGGACGATGGCAGCCGTTCCTGCCTCCGTGCCTCTGCCTTCAGTCCCGCCCCCGCTCCTCTGCAGGCCCCCACAGCAGCTGGGGACTCCCACTCGCTCTGTCACCTCTCCACGGGACGCGCAGACTTGACCTTAATGAAACTGATGCTCGATCCCCCCGCAACTACGCTCTGCCCCTCGTGTGCCCCACTCACCAAGTAGCTCTGGCCAAAAGGCTTGGGGTCACTGACCAGTCCTCTCTCCCTCTCACCCACATCCAGCCCATCAGCAGGCCTTGTGAACTCCAAGTTCAAAGCACGTCCCCAAACCACATGCACCTTCCCGCACCCCACTACCACCCGCCTCCAGCCTCCGCATCTCATGCCTCCTCACTGGCCTCACTGTTCCGCCATTGCCCGGCCCTGCGGGCGCGCTCAGGGTTCTCCAGCCGCGTGAAAACCCTCTGTCCTCACGCGGCCGGCGAGGTCGGTGGCCTGGCTCCCGGCACCCTCTCTGACCCCTCTCTCCCCGGGCCCCTGGTCTGGCCATGCTGGCCCCCTTGCTGTGTGGTGGCTTTGCCATGCCTCCTGCCTCCGGGCCTTTGCACCTGCAGTTCCTTCTGCCTGGAGTGCTTTTCCTCCCGACATCCAGGGAACCCCTCCCTCACTTCACTGAGGCTTGTGCACAGCTCATGTCCTCAGAGCTGACCGCCTTGTCGAAATGGCATTATCTTCACTCTTCATCTCGGGGCATGGTTTTATTTTTCTTAGTATCACTTACCTCTTTCTAGCATTAAAACATGTATTTACATTTACAAGTATATATTTATTTATTTGTTTGTTGCCGTCTCTCCAACCAACCCCTTCCTCCCCCTGCCCTGCAGTAGAATGTAAGATCCACAAAGCACGGATTTTGTATAATTTATGATCAGCGCGTAGTAGATACTCAATAAATATTTCTTGACTGAGAAAATGAATGAAGAAAGAATCTGGACAACAGTCCTGCCCACCCTGCACTGACCCCGAGAGCCCATCTTTGTGTTGGCGTCCCCCCACCGGCCAGTACACCATCCCTTAGATCCGAGTCTTGATCGTATGGTCAGGTGGGGGGTGGGGGGTCACTTCTCATTTTCTGAGGACTGGAGCCAAGATACGAAAAAACTGAAGCAATTAGCTTGGGATAACACAGATCTTTCTCTGAGTCTGATGCAAGCCTTTTGGAAATGAAGGCTGTTTCCTCAGTTCTTACAACCTCACCGTCCTGGGAACGCCCGTTGCAGGGCACGTGCTACCTGGAGGGGTCTGTAGTGGGGGCAAGAAGACGAGCTCAGTGACGCTCACGGCGAGGGTGTGCGGGGCACTTGCTGGGTGCCAGGCACTGTACCAGGCACGCCCTTCGTCTCCTGTTACCGCACTCACACCCCTGTGGGAGGAATGAGATGGTCTGGTTCACTTTAAAGAACGTGCCTGGAGCTGCACAGCTAGTGGTGCGATGTCTGGATTCGAACCCATGCCTGCACGGGCTTCCTTCTTCCCGATGAAGCCTTGGCCGAAGGGGCCTGAGAGCTAAGTCCCCTGCACCTGCACCCGATACCTCTGCTCCGACTGCAGAGCTTGAAAGAGGAGCGTGCTCTCCGTGCCTTCTCAGCTCCCTCCTTTTCCAGCGAGGTGGGCAGCGGCCGGCATCTCCTCCCGCTGCCAGTGCAGTGGCCGTGGCAGGGCCTCCCTGCTCGGCTCTCGGAGAAGTTCCTACCACAACAGTGCCCTTTGTTTTTATTCCTCTCATCCCAGCCTGTCTGGTGTTCTCTCTCCTGGTTCTGCTCCCAGCGCCCTAAGTGTTAGGGGCAGTTTTCTCATGGACCCGTGCGAACCAGATACCTAACCGCAGGGCGGGATGTGCACTGAGAGGCACTGTGAGCAGAGCGCCGAGCAAGGCCAGTTGTCTGTGGCCTGGGAGCCGCTCAGTGGGTTTTATTCCTATTGCGATGACCTCTTTCGCGCCCTCCATATTCTGTCTTTGAAACATTTTTTTTCAAGGCCTCTCTCCTGCCGTCCAGCACCTGTGCTTCCAACCCCTCATCGTCTCCCAGAATCTCACTGGTCCCCAAACGGAAATAGTCCTCCTTCTGTACCTCCCTTTCTTTGTCGTTCAAGCCAGAGGCCTCATCATCCCCACCTTGACTTCTCCTCCCTCCCCCCGCCCTTGCACCCCACCATGCAGCAACTTACCAACCTGTCAGCCGTTCTTGTAAAATGGAGCCGGAAGCCTGGGCTCTGACTCCAGGCAGACCCGGCCGCATGTCAGCTCTTCTCTGTGTCCTCATCTGTCCCGTAGCAGGATCTCAACCCCGCTTCACAGCGTCATTGGAGGTTAAATAAGATCACGCGTGGAAGAGAGTTCTGGGCCCTGGCATGTCGTAAGGGTGTCGCGAATGTGAGCTGTCATGATTCAGCGACTGCCAGCACCGTGTTACTACGCTGGGGCTACACTGGGCTTGACTCGGGGCTTCAGATTTAGTGACTTTCCCCTGCCCATTCGGTGGGAACCAGCATGTGCGTGTGTTATACATGCACACACACGTGTTATAACTGCCTCAGGCCGGGACCTTTTCACATAGGAGGACCGCGGGGTAGGTGGGAAATGGTGCTGGTTTTCTCTCTAGAGTCTCACCAAGCTCTGGTTTGCATTCTCCCCACATCCTCCCTTCTGATAGAGAGAGATGGCTGCTGCTCCTCCACCAGGAGATCAAAGGCCGATAGCTTATCCAGGACCTGCTCCGCCCCACCCGCCCTGTGGGGGCCAGGCACGGTGGGCACCACACCCAGGTCTTGGGGTTGCTCTCTGTTGACTGGAGCTGGTACACTCCGGTACCTGCTGGGCTAGGAAATGTCCGTGCTCCCTGACTGAGAGCCTCCGCCAGCACTGTGAGGACCTGCTGCTAAATGCTGAGATCTCCCCGGTGACGTATAAGCCGGCCATGACTTCGCATCCTTCGCCACATGAAACATCTCCGGTGCCTGAATGCATCTCCTTCAGCAGATGAGCCTGGCTGGCTCGGGGGGTGGAGGGGTGAGAAACATGGCACGTGCCTGCAGCCCCACCATCTCACGCTTCTGCCACACAGCTCCTGACTGCCCAGGGGACTCCGCCCGCGGCAGCTCAGAGCTACAGAAACCGAAGGTCAGGAGCCCAAGGGCATTCCTGAAGGTCATGAGAATTCTGCATTTTCTGTTGCTCCCATGGCTGGTCATTGAAACAGAGGTGGTGAAAGGGAAGGGATGGAGAGACCCACACCCAGCTTTGTTTTTTTCTGCTTTGTGTTGTGTCCACCCACCTCAAGTTCTTTTCTTCCCCTCTCATAGTGTGGGCGCAACGCTGAAAACTTCGACCGGTTTTTCACCCGCCATCCACCCGTCCTCACACCTCCTGACCAGGAAGTCATCAGGAATATTGACCAGTCAGAATTCGAAGGATTTTCCTTTGTTAACTCTGAATTTTTAAAACCTGAAGTCAAGAGCTAAGTAGATGTGTAGATCTCCGTCCTTCGTTTCTGTCGTTCGAGCTCGACGGCCATCATGGTGACATATTTTTCATTGCCAAGTTGCATCCATGTTTATTTGCTGATGAGACTAGAGTGACCATGTCCTGGAACACAAATGTCCTCAGGCAGTTTGGAGCGTCTCTACAAGATGGGATTATGCAGATGCCTGTCGAAAAGGCTGCATAATTAGCACATTGTCGAAGTCCTCTCCCAGTTCCTCCTGCATGCCTGTCAGGCAGATCCAGTGGGGACAGAAAACGCCTGCTTTCTTTTCCTTTTTCTCTGCATGGCCATTTTTACACATTCTCCCCCTCCAACCATCCCATCTAGATTCTTCTGCCCAGTGAATGGATGGCCGGGTGCTAGTGGCCTGGCTGGTGTCCAAGGATCTGGTTGCTTTGCCTTAGCAGGAATTTCTCCATTCTTTCTGGCTCGGGGGCACCACGAGCTCTGAAAAGAACGTGCTACAAATAACATTTTTGTTGTTTTTTTTTTTTTTACTCAAAGTTAAGAAGATTGTCTAAGTCCTTTTAAAAATTCCAAAACTGTGCTTTTACAAAGTTTCTATCTAAAAGCACCTCAAGGGGTCAAAAGGCAACCAGCTTGGGTGCTACCTCATTGCTGTCACCTCTGGTCCGATGCGTCCCTGCTCACCCTCACCCCAAACTGCTTGGAAAGGGCATTTGCACCATTTCCTGAGAGACATGGTCACTCTCGCACGGTCCCAGGACCAGGATTCACATCACATTTCAAACTTTATTTGCTTTGGGGCTTTATTTCTGTTGTTGTTCAAATGCAAAAACAAACAAAAAACAATCAAAAATACTCATTTTGTTCCTACATGCTTCGAAAAATGTGTCCAAATGTTACTGACCATAGCGACCAGCTTGGGTCTACAAAGGAGGCTGCTCTGGGCGGCACAGGCTCCTGGGCAGTGGGTGGGGCTGGGGTGCAGCTGGCTTAAGTGCTCGGAGAAAGACGCCATTTCTCGATGTGGTTTCCCAAGATGTCTGTGGAAATGTCCATTTGTGTCTGGATGTGTCATGTGCCATTTTTCTTCTAGCATTGAGATGCAATAGCGAACACAGGAGGAGAAAAGCTGTTTCACGGAAAATGGCTTTGAAAAATGTGGACCCAGGCTACAGAGGGGGCCTCCGAGGTTTCCGGACAGAGGAGCGAAACCCAGAGCTTAATCTCAGCCCCGTGCTCAGCCAGGCAGAGGCCGAGGCTGTGGGCCTGTCACGGCCTCCTGGTGGCCTGGGGTGGGCCCTCTCATGATGTCAGAGCCCACAGCCCACATTAGGGCCAGCTAGGAGCATGGCCCAAGCGCTTTACTTTCTCATCAAAATCACTACTCCTCCCAACTTGGACTAGATGTTCTCTGTAGCAAGCAGCTTTGTGAGGCCCCAGAAGCCCAAGGAAAGCCCGTGGGCAGGAGGAACCCCATTTCTGTCTCACAGACGAGGACAGCAGTGGTTCTCCATCCTTGCCTCCTGCCTCCGCTATTCTCAGGCCTAAAGAGAATTCTCATCACCAGTTGAGTGGTTTCCGGAAGCTCCAGGGCTTCTAAGAGACCATCAAGGGAACTTGACAAACATCCTTGCAGTCAGACTTCTCGTCTTTAGGGCAACCTGCCCTTCATCCCTCTCTGCCTCTCGCCGCTGCTCGCAGCCGGCTGTGGGCCTCCCGGCGGCTGCCTGCGGTAGCCATCTAGACCTCGGGGAAGGCAAACGTGAGTCCCAGAGGGATATTGGGGAGGTGAGAGGAGGGAAATGGGGCAGAACCCCCTCCTTAGCTGCGGGGGAAACCACCTGCAGGGAGGAAGTGACCTGCCCAGGGTCAGCCAGCTGGGACGCAAACCCGGTTCCTGACACTCAGCACAAGACGCTTTCTCCCTGTGACTGGCATCTGAGCAACGCCCACCCGCAGGCAGGTTAGCGGAGGTCCGTCCTATGGCTGTTGGGTGACCAGCCTTTCCTGGATCTGCTCTCAGGAGGGAAAAAACCATGAGAAGCACTGGGTGGCTGACCAAGGACCCGAGACAACTTTAGAGACCAGTGCAGCCAGGCAGCCAGGTGGGGGTGGGGTGGAGAGGTGATAATCAGGTAGATGGGAGAATACAGTGCGCATGTCCACTGCTCCACATGTCCCCACTTGCTGCCATCATTTCCCAGACGTTTGATAGCGTGCAGAAATATGAACTCCAGCCCAAGCCTCTGTTGCCCTAGGCCCTGGCCGAGGCCGGCAGGGAGCCTGTGGGAGCCAGGCCCTGAGTCAGAGCCTGCGGTTCCTTCTTCCATCAACACTTCCGTGTAAGGAGCCCGGGAGGCGAGCCTTCCACATACAGCATCTTCGCAAATTGATCCGGGAAGAAAGCTATTAGTTCATTTTCCCATCGTGCATGTATTCTGCCCTCCATGCATTCACCCAGCCATCATTTATTGAGCACCGACTGTATACCAGGCCTGCGCTGGGTGCCAGGAGCACCGTGGGGAAGCGCAGGATGCCATCCAGGAGGGCAGTCTTGACGCAGTCATTGAACGCATGCTGTCATCAAAGGATAGCCGTCCCTGGGTTGGTCAGGGAAGGCTTCTGGTAAGAAAGACAAAGTCCTCACAGGTCTTCGGGTTAGGCTTCTCTGTAGACCGCGGTTTGAGCAGACAGAGCGGCGCAGCAGCGCCCCTGGAGCCGGGCTTCTGGGACAGCCCTAAAGTGCGTGGGCGGGAAGGGAGGCAGGGCAGCTGGGGTGGGTTTCCTTCTAGAAGGCCAACAGCACTGTCCGTGCTCAAACAAACACGGGTCACGGGACTTGAACCAGTGGACACCGTAGGGACGAGGACCTGGATTTCTGCTCAGTTCTGAGTCCCGAGGCTCACTCAGAGTCCCTTCCTGGCCCTCGGGGAACGCTGCCCCACAGCACGCAGCCCTGGCTGCACTCGGCCTGGCGCCTCTAGATGACACAGCCCGAGATTTTCCAAAAGAACTAAAACGCGGGGAGAATGAACAACTAAGCAAGGAAAGCCAAGGAACCCTAAACATGTCAGCCATGACTAGCTGTCTCCCGGGATCTAAGACCCGCTTGTCATTCCTGAGACTTCTTACCCTGCCCTCTTCTAAGATAGGAAGGCCCACGGTCACCGTGACTTGGGAAGGTAAGGCAGGCCAGTGGATTCGTAACCCCCCTCGGTGAGCGAGACTTTCTCGTGGGGCCGCGAGCCTGTCAGCTCGGGAATTGTCCCAACAGAGAGGCCGGCTCCCTCCCAGCTTGTAGGCTGAAACCCAGGGGTGTTGTCGATGGAGATCTGCCCTGGGACAACGTGCATATGGAAGCCCTGTTTGGACCACGTGGCTGTTTGGAGCAGGAGTCATCACCACAAGGAGGAAGGGCTTTCAGAATTGGGCTGGTGGGGAAGGCGCCTTGGGCTGCGGGAAGCTGAGGCAGGGAAGGGCGCGTGGGGTCAGCGTTACCTGGGGAGCCCCGCCAGGAGGCAGCTGCCTGCCCTCTAGCCCAAGACTTACCGGGACCCCATGGACCCACGGAACCCAGGCCTTGAAGGGGCCTAATACAGTTCAGTTCACCCTGGGGCTCAAAATGGACGGGAGAGACCCAAGGCTCAGTGGCCACACATTCCACTGTTTCACTCCAGAGTGAAGCCTCTGGCTGGGGAGCCACTATAAGGAGGGAAAGTGAAGAGGCTCACCCTTCGTGGGGTCTTCACTCGTGGATGCATCCATTCACCAGAGCGTGGACAGCCTGCCGTGTGCCGAGACCACGCGTGGCCCTGGAAACACAGTAGTGAAGAAACAGCCAGGCCCTGCCCTCCTGGAGAGAGGCCACAAATAAGTCAGTTTCCGGTTGCAGCAAGCTCAACGCAGGTCATCAGAAGGTTCCTAAGTGTGGGGGTGGGGCCCAGAGAGGCGTGCAGGGCAGTAGTGAAGGAAGAGGTGCACTAGAGCTTTTCTCTGAACACAGGTGTGACACAGGCAGAGCGGGACAGGCAGGACGGGACACAGGAAGGACAGGACAGAGCAGAGGGGCGGGGCGTGGCAGGAGAGGCCCATCCAGAGGACAGCTCCATGGGCATCCTCCGCCCGCTCCACTCGGGCTCCGCTCACTGGAGTGTACCCCGGTTTCTCACTCACCCCTACGGCCACACACAGGGCCAGAGGAGGTGGGGACCTCCGTGAGGACACCTTACCTATCTCAGGGAGCGGCCTGAGGAGGAATGTTCCTGAGAGGGCCTTTTGCAAAGGGGCATGAGCCCAGGAATGAGAGATCCTCATCAGTCGGTGCCCATTGGAGGCTGAACCTAAAACCTGGATGGTGATTGGCCAACGTTAGCCAGTCACTCATCTCTGACCCTCTCCTCTTTACCACGGGGCTTCAGCCTGCCCGGCACCAGGGAACCGCGTGGCATCCGGGTTGTCCTGTGATGAACCAGCCCGCAGGCTTGCTCCCTAGTCAGAGGGGCTGAGACGAGGCCTCACGGGAGCAGTGTGGTCGGGTAACGTCACTCACCCTCTGGGTGGTCGTGGGCAAGTCACCGCACCTTCCCGTGCCTTGGTTTTCTCACAGATCACAGCGGGGGTGGGGGGAGGGGGGACTCCAGCTCCCCCTGCCCTTGGGTAGTGAGGACAGGAAGAGAGGGTAGGCTGACAGAGGCCCGAGCCTGTCTCAGATGTGGGGAGTCAGCCCGCACTCCTTCCCTGGCGAAACCTGCCCCGAGCCGGGGTTACTGCCTGCTCCCCACCCCAAGAAATGCCAGATTCACTTGGAGAAGAGAGTTTTGCTTGTTGTAAGGCTGCCCCTGCAGACCTGACGCTAAGCTTTGGGTTTTGTTTCTTATAGTTTGTTACTAGATGTGGGCTCTGCCCACCTGGGAGAGCCCTCTGGCTGCAGGCCCAGCCTTGGTGGTGGGCTTCTGAGCTTCCCGGGTTCGCCTGGGCTGCCGCAGGGAGTGAGGGAGGTTGCGGCCCCTCCTTTCATGAAGCAGTGGCCGCCTTTCCCCACAGCGGGCGCTCTGCTGTGGGGAGCTGCGCGCTTGTGCAGCTGTTCTCCTTACAGGAAGGCCGTCCTGGCCACGGGTGGCTTGGGGTGGTGTGCTAGGGGACACTCCACCCAATGACCGACTCTGACATCACACCTGGTGAGAAGCAGTTCCCAACTCAATTCATCTCAAAGCCAAAAACAGAGCACACCCCACTTTATGACAGGCCTCAAAGACATTCAATGTCTCATTTCCTTAGAAACATTGCAAGCTTTCTCTCCTGAAGCCAGCACGGCTGTGAAACGCAAGCTAGGCGGTCGCACTCGCCCTGCGGCCACTCCGCGGGGCATCCCACTCGCCCCAGAGGGCGTCAGCTCCCCGTGGCTGGCGCATCTCGGTCACATTGCCCTCTGTGCTGTGTTAACGTGTCTGCTTTCCATTTGGCAGAGAGACAAGCGAGACACCTCCAACTTCGACAAAGAGTTCACCAGACAGCCTGTGGAACTCACGCCCACGGACAAACTCTTCATCATGAACTTGGACCAAAATGAGTTTGCCGGCTTCTCCTATACTAACCCAGAGTTTGTCATTAACGTGTAGGCGAGCGCCCGCTCCTCGCCGAGCCTGGAGGTAGGACTCCAGGCCGAGTGTAGGCATTGATTCGTCTTCCAGATCCGTGGTGCTCCTGCCGGCATTCCAGGGTGGGAGCTGGCCGGAGGCTTCTCTTTGGATGTGTAGCTTGCTAGTTTGTTTTCTACATTTGAAAAATGTTTAGTTTAGAGTAAGCGCTTTATCCAAGTAGAAAGGAACCGTTTTCCAATCTTCCAGAAGCTCATCAAATGAACAGACGATGTCAAAACTACCGTGTCTGATCCCAAAATGCTTCAGTATTTGTAATTTTTAAAATCAGAAGCTGATGTTCCTAGTGAAAGTTTTTACAGCTGTTCTGCAGCATTTCCCTTGAATGCTAAGCATGACTGGTGTTTTTAAAAATAGTGAGTAAGCTTTGCAGTTACTGTGAACTGTTGTCTCTCGGAGGAAATTTTTTGTTTAAGAATTGACATGATTAAACTGAGTTAATATATGCAAACTCTCTTGTTACCATGTCTGCTTTGAAATAGACTCCGGTACAGAGGTTGCAAATTGGAGAACCATAGTCTAATGCAGCCAGAACATGAGCTTTGCGCCACATGCACAAAATTTTATTTAATTGACGGCATTGTCAACATTTTTTAAAAATGCGATATTTTATTTAAGTTTCTGGGCTTTCATAGTCACTTGAAAAAAATCAAAAGACTGGCAGTACTGGGCCTTGGTTCCCATGTGGAAATAATTTGACAGAACTGACTCATGGCTGTCTCCTTTAAGAGCAATGTGTGCTCTCATTTTGCCACAGTCTCCACCATGCCCTATTGTCTATATTTTTTATCTACCCACCTGGCTGCGGTAGCCATCTGCAGGTGAGACATTTGAGAGTCACAAGCTTAGTGACCTCAATATTTCCCGTGCCCATAATCAGAGTATCTGCTCAGTCACCCAGTCGGTGTGGTTTTTGTGCATTAAATCCTCAAGCACGAAATAGACAACAAAAATGTCATTCTAGCCGTGACAGAGTCAGCACGGAGGCTGCTGGCGACATAGTGACACCACTTCTCTGTGGTCTACGAGGATGTCATTGTAAAACTACTTACCTTTCACTATTTTCTCCTAACTTAGCCTCTGCAAAAAAACAAACAAACAGCAACAAAAACACCACCACGGGGCATATGTCCTTCCCTCCTGTCCAAGGAGGCCAGAGACGGGGCCAGGCAGGGCGGGCTCTTCTAAACGCTGCTGGCTTGGGAAGGAGCCCGTCTCCCTGGCAGCAGCGTGCACGTCGCTGCATCGCGGTATCGCCTGCTGCCTCCTCTGAAGGAGTCATGCCCAGGCTTCTTGTTGGAAGGTCGGTAATGCAGCCTACGGCACGTGCCTCGGAGCGGCCGACGCCCGTGGGTAGCAGCAAAGGACAAACCTGACCCACCAAGTACGTTGTGACTCCACGGAGTTTATTCATCTCCTTGGAAGACGCCCGGCAATGGAGCATTGAGGAGACAGCGGATCTACTGATCCTCGGAATTTTAGAAACGCTGCCAATTAAAATTGAGTAAAGCCAACTCCAAGAAGAAACTGTGCTCTAACACGTCACATTTAGAAAACAAAACACATGGCTCTCTATCGACATCGGATGACACGTTCCATTTAAGATAATATTATAGAAGAGGTTCCGTGCTACCCACTTCATGCCAGCCCCTCATTTCATGCCCGAGCGCCTGTCTCCCCATTTCATGCCAGCCCCTCATATTTTCTCCCTTTGCTGGATATAAACCTGTCTGTCATTGCACAAATATTGAGCACTTGCTCTGAGCCCGGCCTAGTTCTGTGTGCTGGGGAGAAAGTGACAAGATAGTGTAGTACTGTCCATTCACAGGGAGGAGACTGCAGACTTCCCAGCCTCTCCTGGGACCACTCCTATAAAGCTCTGCACTTTACTCTGATTGGCTCAGCCTGGCCAGCACTGTGCCTGGGTAGAGAGGGGAGGCGGGTGAGGGGCTTTGATTGGCCAGACCTAAGTTGTATATATTGCTGTGTAACAAATTACTCCAAAATTTTGAAACAAATATTTCTTACCTCTCAGGGTCTGTGGGTGGGAAAGTGGGTGTGGCTTAGCTGGTGTAATGCTTGTCTTTGAGGGTGCAGTTAAGCCATCGGCCAGGATTGCAGTCACACATGAAGGGTCAACTGGGGGGAGGTGGGACTTATGTCCATGCTCAAGTACATGGCCTTGGGCAGCCTCAGTTCCTCAACAGAGAGCATCTCCATGGGTGCCTCTGGCCATGGCCACTGGCTTCCTGGGTGTGAATGATGCAAGTGAAAGCGCCTAATCCAGAAGCCATTCATCTCAGAAGTAGCCCCATCTTATTGCTGTTTTCTGTTCTTTAGAAGCAAGTGAAGAAACCCCGCCCTTGCCCTGACCGGTTTGGCTCAGTAGATAGAGCATTGGCCTGCGGACTGAAGGGTCCCAGGTTTGATTCCAGTCAAGGGCATGTACCTTGGTTGCAGGCACATCCCCAGTAGGGGGTGTGCAGGAGGCAGCTGATCAATGTTTCTCTCTCATCGATGTTTCTAACTCTCTATCTCTCTCCCGTCCTCCCTGTAAAAAATCATTAAAAAAATTAAAAAAAGAAACCCCGCCCTCACTGAAGGGAGGGGATTCCACGAGGGGAGCAGTCCGGTGGGGCCTCTGGGTGTCAGCTTAGTAACTGCCTTCCACACACACCTTGAGCGGCACCTCTGGAACTGGGT